GGGGGAAGAAGAACAAACTGGGGAGGAGGGTAGAGAAAATGGTGCAGCAGTGAAGGAGTGAAGACCCAAAATCCCTGTAAATGTTCATTAAAATTAATAAAATTTAATAATAATAATAATAAAATAAAAAAAAGAAGCCTTAAAGTAAGTTTAGTCTTGCTGTTAAGAATCTCTTAAGATAGTAATGTATATTATTCTACAAGCTCAGTGCTACACAGTTTAAAGTATGTATGCATTTATATATCTATCAGTAGATAGATAGATAGAGATATATAGATAGATATATTTGATTAATGTTTGACAACCTCACTGAATTACAAGGTTCATGAGAGCAAAATCATGTATGCCTGGACTGTCCATCAGATATCCACGTCCAACATAGTATCTAGAGCACAGAGACACTGGATAAATATGTACTGAATAAATAATGAAAAGGAGTGACAAATTATTTTCTACATCCTTTTTTATATATTTTAAGTCTGATTTTACAAACATTCCAAGAAAGGGAAGTTTCTAAGGTATAGCCAAAGGGAATCTTAACCCTTTCTTCTTTTTATTTTACCCAAAGTTGGCTGCTGAAGATACCTTGCTATTTCGATCACAAAATCCATTTCCTCTGGGCCTTGCCTGACTGTACTCCAGGTAGGATCAAAGGATGCTTCTAGTCAAGTGATGTGGGTAGAAAAATATGGCTCTGAAATCAGACACATGTAAGTAAAAATGTTGTCTCTAACTAATCATTTCTGTAAGTCTATGTTTTGCTATATATCAAATAAAGCTCCAAACCAAACCCATTATGAAATCAAGTCAATTCTGACTCACAGTAATTCTGTAGGACAGAGTAAAACTGTGATATAGGTGTCAAAGGCTGTAATCCTTACAGAAGCTGACTGCTCTTTCTCCCACAGAGCAGCTGATGGGTTCAAACCTCTGATCTTTTAGTTACCAGCCAAGTGCTCAACTATTGCATCATTTGTTGTTGTGTACCATGGAGTAGGAATCAACCCTTAGCTGACCCTCTAGTGGGTTTTCAGAGGCAGTTAATCACACAAGAGGAGACTGTCCATCTTTCTCCAATGGAGTACCTGGTGGCTTTGAACCACTTGTCTTTGGGATTGCAGCACAGATTCTGCCACTAGGCCACCAGAGCTCCCTTAGGGCTTCTAAAATAGGGCTAATACCCATCACTCACTATAAAGCACCTAAGGGATATAGTCAAGTCTTGCACCATCCAGATGGGAGCTCTGGTGGCCTAGTGGCAAGAAGCTGTACTGTAATCCTGAAGGCATGAGTTTAAGGTCACCAGCTGTTCTGTTGGAGAAGGATGAGCAATCTCCTCCCACGTGATTAACTGGCTCTTAAAACCCACTGGAAGGTCAGCTATGGATCAGTTCCAACTCGATGGTACACAACAACATCATGCTTTATAGTGACAGGTATTAGCCCAAAATATATAGGATTTCTGAGTCAGAATTTACTTGAGCGCACCTAACAATAAGGAATATAGTATGTATTAGAAACCTATTAGTCTTTCTCAACCTTTCTGCAATACTATCCTTCAAGGTCTGATTCAGACAGCATTTTCTCATAAAGTTCCCAAAGTCCTCTGCTAGAAAAAATGTCTCCTACCCTCTTACAGAAATTATTGCCTCTTCAATAGTTGACCTAATAGTTATTTATAATTACCTTATTATAACTATTATTTCTTAGACTAAGCTCCATGTATTTTTCTCATCTTTTAATTGAAAGCCTGAAACATATTTGCAAAGCTGAATTTCATCTAATAGGCATATAAAAGCAAAGCTAAATTTTGCCACTTCTATAACAGAGATCTCCTCAGGGAACTTTAAATTCAACAAGAAGATCTAAGTTATTTTGAAGGGATCCATTAGAAATTACATGAACCATTTAATATCTAAATATTATCATCATAATAGAAACTATTATTTTTTAAGACCTATTATTTGACTTGTTCTTTACATACATAATTATTACTCAAAAATACATGATAGTATGTTCTAGGTCATGAAGCAAGAAAGCTGGAGTGTTAATCAGTCGCTGGCTCTAAAGTGGACTTTAGACTGCACTATACAGTGCCATGACATTACACAGAGTCATCTTAATGAACTCTTAGGCAATGTAGACATTTACTAGACTGACAAGAAAAATGAGTTTTTAAAATCTAACCTTCAAATGTCCTTCGCCTGTAAGGAATTCAGAATAGCCAGCATCAGTGGCCAATAAACCTACAAATTGCATGCTGGGTCGTTGCTGAATAAAGGCTTCTACAGCTTTATCTGTCACATGCTTTCTCCCAGAAACATCCAGGGAGACAAGGTTGGGTAAGATGTCTTTTTGTTCTAATAATCGAAGAGCTATGTCTGATGTAAACTGTTTATCATCTGAAATATCAAGATGATTGAGATGTTTTAGCTCCTGAACAACATCCAGTATCTGTGTAGTTGTCATTTTTAAACATTTCAAATGGTGCATGGTTAGAGACTTGAGGCGATCTTTGCAGGCTAGGAGAGCTGTAATGTCTGTGATGGAGGTGTTAGAAATGTCCAGGCTCTCCAATCTTGGCAATGAGGCAACTTCAGCCAGGTCTTCATTGTAAAAGAGAACATTGGTAATGCTCAAAGCTCGAAGGCCAGAAAGGCGGCTGAAGCATCGCTCATAAGGATCTTCGAGGGAGAGAGTTAATGAGTTGAGCACGAGGCACTGGAGATTCTGCTGGATCCATTTGTTACTGCCAAGCCCACTGATGATGTCTGTAATAGTGATGTCAGCATTCACACCTGTGGCATCAAGTTCCACTAACTTGTGGTGGCAGAAAGCTTTCCGGAAAGCAACAGCAGAGATCTTTGCCTTTCGAATGCAAGCTCGTTTTAAGCGCATCTGGTTGCCCCGGAAAATACCCACAGTTCCATCATTCAGGAGACCTGAAAAACAAGTAGAATTTAATGTATATATTAAAAAAAAATCAATAAATGCTGGACAAGCAAAAGTGTTAAATAATAACTAAACTTTTTATCATATTTTGAATTTACAGAGTATTCCTATGTAGCAACATCTTCTTTATAATACATGCAACAATTCCATAAGGAGAGGACGTTACCCACAGTTTATAGATGAGTAAACTGGGGCTCAGAAAAGTAATTTGCTTTGAAGATCACAGAGCAAATGGCAGAATAAGACATTACTAATACGTATTTATATCTGTTTTCCTAGAGGTGGAAAAATATTGTATTTCTCGATACTATCTCAGGAAGTAAGAGGAATCATATGACTATTACTGGCTATAGGATGTAGCATCTAATAGCTCTAAATGACAGTATAGAGAGTAAGGTGAGCCTACTTCAGGCCATGGTCTCTACAATTACTTGCTCTGCATCAGAGGGATGGACAATGACTAAGGATGAAAGAAGAATCAATGCCTTTGAATTGTGGTGTTGGAGAAGAGTACTAAACATACCATGGAAGCCAGGAGAAAAAAACAGGTCTGTCCTACAAAGGGTGAAACCAAGCTGGCTCCTTGGAGGCAAGGATTTTGAAACTCCATCTCACATACTTTGGGCATGTTGCCAGAAGGGACTAGTCTTTGGAGAAAGATATCATGCTTGGAAGGGTGGAGGGTCAGCGCAGGAGAGGAAGACCTTGGATGAGATGGATTGACACAGTGACTGTAGTAATGAGTCAAGTGTGTGTTGGAGACTGTGAGATTGGCTCAAGCAAGGAAAGGGTACGGTTCAGAGCTATTTTTCACAGGATCACTGAGTTGCATAAGACTCAATGGCACATAACCACAATAACAATCTAAGAGCAAGCACATGAATGTCCATATTATCTTCTCCTGCTGTGCCAGATGAAAAGACTTTAAGTTCTAGATACTGCAGCTGTATGAGGAAGATGCCTTCATCAGCTTGGATCCAGGATGGTAACAGAATAAAAACCTGACTGGACTTATATAGCATGAGCAAGGTAAAAACTTTGGATTAAGTTATTAGATCAGGAGAGTTTACATTTGTTTCCTTCAGAAAACCTATTACAAGTTATAGTTCCATATGTCTATTTGCTTCTTATGTTTCCCACTAGGTTATAAATTTCATAAAAGCAAGCTATATTCTGTGCTTATATTTCACATTTAGTACCTAAAACAGTGCCTGACATATAACAAACATTCAATTATTTTGTTTTTCTCTAATAAATCTTATTCTTTTGCACCCACTAGAACTCCTTCCACACACACACTGAGAGCTTGCTATGGTCTCTAGTACATTAAAAAAAAAAAGAATCAGATTCTGGGCTATGGCTAATGTTTTCCTTGTTTATGCTGCAAAATTAACTTGTATTTTAAAATGTTCCTTTTTTTACAGCTGAAACATCAGTTTTAGAAATAATATTTTTTTAAAACTTTTATTATTTTTTTGTGTGTGTACCGTCAAATCAGATCTGACTGGTACAGGAGGAGATTGTCCCTCCTTCTCCAGGACAGCATCTAGTGGATTTGAACCATGCACCTCTGGGGTTGCAGTGCAGTTTCTTGTCACTAGGCCACCAGAGCTTGCCGCAGAAATAATATTCTTAACACTGTTTTTCATTTCAGAGATTATCACAATACTTTACAAAACTGTCTCTCATGTTCTTGTGAAATGTCCAACCACAAACAAATGGATTGAGAAATAATGGTACATTCACACAATGGAATACTATGCAGCACATATGATCAATGATTTTGTAAATTATTACCAAACTTGGGAAGGACTGGAAAGAATTATGCTGCGTGAACTACCTCAGTCCCACAAGAATAAATATTGTACAACACCATTATTGTAGAATGAGTAAAAGGATCCAAGAAGGGTGAGAGAGGTTGGAAGCAGAGGGATGAGGATGTGCAGGGGATGGGAGGATTAATCATGGGGTTGTACAATTTGATGGGTGGAGGGTGAGAGAAATTGAAAGAATTGGTTCTTAAAAACAATGTATTTGAATTTTGTAAACAAACTAGTAAAAAATTTAAAAAAAAATTGGGTTGCAGATTTTTATACTGTATACAGATTTAGTCAAATGTGTTACTACTGGACTTTGTCATAATAACTAAGTCTATATTTGGGCGTAATTAATTAAAAGAGTTAAGGATTAAAGAAAAGTGTGAGACCCAGAAATTGAGCCTGGAGTTGAGTCCTGGTCCTGTCTTCTATTTACTATTTAACATTAGACAAATTCTTCCAGAGTTTTAAGTTAGGAGTCTAAGATTCCTTACCTGTAAAATATAAACAGTAATATCTCCCTCATAGAGACTGCTGAAAGATTAAATTATATAATATACATACAAATTATTTTGCAAAGTAAAAGCATTACACATGTCATTAACTATATTTAAAAGAAATCTTTCTAAATTACGTTGTATTTCTTTTCTTTCACAAAAAAAAAACACACTAAATAATCATTTGTTTTCTTCCATGCCCAACAATTAATGCATTTGTCACTTTTACAATCCATTTAAGCAAAATAGTCCTTTGTTGCCATACAATTCACTTTTGTTGCCAGCCTGTCCCCTTCAGATCTGCAGTCAGATGGCGAATATGCTAAAGTCTATCAACTGAGATTAGACATGCAATATGACGAGTGCATTATCCTAAGATGGCAAACTTCTTATTCTGATTTCTAGGTCTTATGCTTATATTTCCTGGAAAATTTTAGCATAGATATAAAGAACAAAGACTATTATAAAAGAATCACACATTCTAAGAAGTAAAATTTTTAGAATTTGGCTTCTTTTAACCTCAATTATCATAAAACCTCTGAAATGAGTAAACAAAGAAATATTTCAAATGCATGTAAGTTAGTTTCTAAAATTAATGTTATTAATGAAAAAAAAGAAATTAAGTGATGAATAAGAAGCTTACTGGTTAGCAGCTAAAAGTTTAAATACTGTGCCATCAGAACTCCTTTTCCTTATGTGAAGGTAATTAAAAACAAAAGTTGTAAACACACACATTCTGATCAAGCATAGTCTCTCTCCGAGACATTATTCTGAAGGACAACAACAATTTACAGTTACACTTACATAAAAATCACTTCCATTATTGTATGTACACAAAGCATTTGGCAGATAGGAATATGCCTTTAATAAACGTTAGCTGACGTCATTAGATATTAGTAATTGTGTTTCAAAAACCTAAATGAATTTAACAAAGTTAAAATTTTAGTTAGCAGCTATTCTTATGATTTAAAAGACTAGAGCTATTTTAGGGTGGAGAAATATGCCACATATAATCCCTAAATTAAGACTAGAAAGAACTGTCAGTATGAGTCTAACTTGCTAAAATTATTGTACAGCCTTACAAGGTATGTTTACTCTGTGTAGTATCTATTGAAATGTATTCTAGTTCCCTATGGAAATACGAGATAATTCAGAGACTAGGGATCTGAGCAACTTAGTGAAAACAAAGATCGTCGTCTTTGTGTAATTATTCCAAAATGTTCCAGACTGATTTCAATTAGAACCTCATGTGCAGTCACGCTTATTATTTTAAAATATAAACCGTTTCCTGGTATCAAGAAGCAGCAATATCTGTAACGTAGGTGTAGGCACACTGAGGCACAGTGCAAAGGGGAAAACCAATTTGAATTTTAATCAGGACTAGCAGTGTTCCTTTCAACAAGTTACTGCTTTGGACCTCAGTTCTTCTATCTGCATATAAATCAGGGTAATAGTAGCTGCCTACATGGTTGTTGAGAAAATTCAGTGAAAACATGTAAAATGTTTGGCTCATAACATAGCTGGTAATTATTACCATTGCAATACTTTCATCTTATTTTAGAGTTGAGGACAAAACTTATTCCCCACCTGTAAGTTTAAAATTCTAAAGTTATAAAGGTATTATGTTTCTTTCAAGTTAAATCTTAAATAGACACACAAAGAGTACCATTCAATATAAATAACTAGAATTTCAGATGAAACTTTCCCAATCTTTCAGAATGTGATTTTAAAAATAGAAGTACTAAATTAACTGTGACTCTTTTTCTTTTCAAAGGTCAAAACCAGAAATTCGTTTTCCCATAAGAATATACATTTGCTGTCGAAATAAGACCTACAACATTTATGCCAGCAGATTTCTAAATGGCTATTTCATAAAACAGGGAAGTCATTGCTGTCATGAGAATAGTTTCTCAAAAGAAAAAAAAAGTGGTATGCTCAAATTAGAAATGCAGAAAATTCTGCAAAACAACTATGAGGTATCATCTCACCCCAGTAAGAATAGCAAAATTTAACAGAACAGCAAACAACAAATACTGGTGAGGTTACAGAGAAACTAGAACACTTATTCACTGTTGGTGGGAGTGTAAAATGGTGCAACCACAAGGAAGGCTATATGGTGCTTTCTCAAAAAGTTGCAAATAAAAATACCATTTGACTCAGCAATTCCACCACTGGGAATATACCCTAAAGAAAATAAAAACCGCCACCCAAATATATATATAAATACACACACACACACACACACACACACAGCCATGTTTACTGAGGCTTTGTTCACAATAGCAAAGAGTTGGAAACAAGTGCCCATCAACAAATGAATGGCTAGATAGACTGTGGTATATCCACAT